GTTACCCTATACACAAGTGTCATGGAGTCGATACTGACTCATAGTGACCGTATGTACAACAGAACGAAACATTGCTTGGTCCTGGGCCAACCTTACAGTCTTTTCTATGCCTAAGCCCATCACTGCTGCCATGGTGCCAATCCATCTCATTTGGGATCTTCTTTTTTTTTTTTCTCTGACCCTCCACCTAACCAAACATGATATCCTTCTTCAATGACTAGTCCTTCCTGATAATATGTCCCAAGTAGGAGAGACTAAGTCTGGCCATCCTGGCTTCCAAGAACACTCTGGCTGTACTTCTTCCAACACAGATCTCTTTGTTCTTTTGGCAGCCCATGGTACTAACAGTATTCTCTTCCAACACCATAACTCAAATGCATCAATTCTTCTACAGTCTTCCTTATTCACTGTTCAACGTTCGCATGCATATGAGGTTATAAAAAATACCGTGGCTTGGGTCAGGCGCACCTTAGTCTTCAAACTGACATCTTTGATCTTCAATACTTTACAGGTCCTGTGCAGCATATTTGCCTAATACAATATAGCATTTGATTTCTTGACTGATGCTTCCATGAATGTTGATGGTGGAGCAAAATGAAATCTTTGACAACTTCAATCTTTTCTTCATTGATATGGATATTGTTTACTGGTCCAGTGGTGAGGATTTTTGTTTTCTTTACAATGACATACAAACCATACTTAAGGCTGTGGTCTTTGATCCTAATCAGTAAGTATTTTAATATTTAGTGACTAGAAAGGCTTTTATCTCACAGTGGAGTATATTCATTTGTCTTCGCTATGACTGAAGAAACAATGATGGTGCCTCTTTTACTGTAAATACCACATGAATTTTTAATTTTATTTTGGGCTGAATTTATATAAAGCCTAAAGAGAGAGAGAGAGAGATTTGGAGTAGAGATTCTTAAAATTCTCTGCTATTCTCTTTTCCTCAATTCCCTCATTCTACAATCTCCATCATGATGAATCATTTCACGAAATCAGACAAAATTAAAGACCTGCAGGGGAAAATATCATATGCAGTCAAAGTCACTTAATTTGAATGAGATGTAAACCAGGTGGACCAAGGCCAGCCACATTTCATATTTAGATTATAGGTCCATGATATTTGCGTCGTCAAAAGACTCATTTGACCTGATGCTAAAGGTTTTGAAAATAAGATTCAAAAGAAAAAGTCCCTAAGCATTCAACCTAATTGCCTTAGCAGTTGGAGATAACAGGCAGAGAGCCCTTTGTAAAATAGTAGTCACTTGGATATAAACACCTGCAGGCAAGACTAGCAGTAAGATGTGTGCAGGTAGGTGTTAATGAGGCCAGTCAGACAGATGCCAACAGGTCCTGTGTTACTGAGTTATTGAGTAGCTTGGGTTACAATTGTGAGCCAGGAGAACCAGGGATAGGAATGAAGGATAGTGACCAATTTAGATGTTTATAAAGCTGGTTGCTATATCGGGGGGGAAAAAAGCCTCTATCCTAACAATAAATTATCAAAGAAAACTAAAATAAGGTGTGTTTTTTTTGTTTTGTTTTTTTGTTTTTTTGTTTTTTTTTTACAAATTTGTGTTTAAGAAAATATACAATTTGGGGGAAAAAAAATGAGTGTTAAAGCAAATATTGGAAAGTATTCTCTTACAATGAAGTTGGAGATAACAATGTACCCTCATGCTACATTGTCATTTAAAGCCAGAGCTTAATTTTTTTTTTTCTATAAAATTCAAAGTTATAATGAGGAGTGTTATAGTACTAATTTAATATACCAAGTTTCCAACTTGCATTGCACAAACAGTTCTTTTAAGTACAGCAGGCAGACAAAACTGAACCTGGACACTTTCAAGTAGGAATGAGAAGAGTTGGTAAAATCACTGCCCAATAAGACAATGCTTTGGCAGAGGCACAATAAACACACTATTAACAGATACTAATAATATCAGTAGTGATCAACAATGTGATAATCGGAAAATGCCATTCTCAAAGGATGTGAAAGTGAATGGCGGACGGTTAGACCATTAACCAAAAATATCAGAGAATTTCCCTCAGAAATGTATTTTTACTGGTTCATTTGTTAGTAACTTGATATCAGAGATACCTGAAAGAAGAAGAAGAACTGGAGAGCTCTTGGCATCTGTTTTATATCCAATATTTAACATTCCTTACTGCTTTAAGGTAATTTTTGGCACTAGCCTATATCTGATAATTGCAAGTGACTTACTTTCCTGAAATTTTTGGCACATTACCTCAGGCTTGTTAATAAACATAAAGGGTTTCTAAGTTTCAACTGAAGTTGTGGGAAGGAGTGAATAAAAATTAATTTAGTCTGCCAATTTGGAATACATACTTAAATATTTTGGCTTTCGTTTGTAAAAGGTTACCTAGCCATGGAAATAGTATGTATGGTATTGCAATATTCCATTGGTAGGACGCTGCATAATCCACTGCCAGCCAGTCAGTTCCAACTCCAGAGACCCTACAGAACAGAGGAGGACTGATCCCTAGGATTTTTGAGACAGAACATCTTTACGAGAGCAAACAGCTTCATCTTTTCCTGCAGAGTGGCTGCTGGCCTGGCACTGCTGACCTGTGGTTAGCAGCCCAACTTGAAATCCACTATGTCACCAAGGTTCTTATGGTATTAAATAGGATTTCAAAATCTAATTGACAACTATTACTATGATTAATGATTAATTTTGAATACTTAGTACTATTGATGATACGGGATGTAGCTGACTTCAGAGGTGATACAAATTGTGAATATTTGACTTTTAGCCAAAAGTTTGCCAGGGATGGTGATCTGCTTTTGAAAGGTCACTGCCTTGAAAACCCTATAGAGCAGATCTACTGTGCACACAGGGGGTCACCTGAAGTGGAATTCAGCTCCGTAACAATTAACAGTAAGTGGCACTGTAGGATAAGCACTGGATTGCTAAACCCAGGGTTGGCAGTTCAAATCCACCAGCTGCTCCTTGGAAACCCTGTATAGTATTATGAGTCAGAATTGACTCGATGGCACTTAACAATGATAGCATCTTGTATCTATACCTTTTCTCTTTTTAGCCTATCAAAATCTTAATACTGCTCCAACTTGGTACCGAGTCACTCAGGGATGCTAACACTTTAAAATTTAATGACTAAGAGAGTCCTTGTATGGTGCTATAGGGTAAACAGTGGACTGCTAACTGTAAGGTCAGTGGTTCAAACCCATCAGCCATTCCTTGGAAACCCCCATACAGGTTCGCTATCAGTCAGAACTGACTCAATGGCACATAACAGCACCAAAGACAGTACCATTTTCATCATATAGAAGTGTCAACAATAGATAACAAAAGAGTCCTGGTGTGGCACTAAAGGATAAGTACTGGGTTACTAGCCACAAGGTTGGCAGTTCAAACCTACCGGTCACTCCTCAGAAGCCCTTTGCTGAGTTGCTATGATTTGGAACTGACTCAATGGCACTTGCCAACACCATGCATAATATACATATATGTGAGTGCTATGGAGTTAACTATGATTCATGGTGACATATATTATGTCCATCAGGGTTTTCATTGACTGATTTAATTTCCTAAACAGATCAACAGGCCTTTATTCTAAGGTATCTATGGGTGGACACACCTTCCCACCAAAAAGTTAGCAGCTGAGCACATTAACCATTTGCAATGCAAGGACTGCAATACTGCGTGCTTTGTTGCTCGTTTTTTTGTTTTTTTTTTGTTTTTTTAGTTGATTCTGGTGCCGTGGGTTAATGCACTGGTCTGCAAAGTCCATTTGAACCACAAGGTTGGTGGGTCAAGCTCACCAGCCACTCCTCAGAAACCCTCTACAGGGTTGCTATGGGTCATAACCGACTCAACAGCACTTAACAACAACAACAACTACAATAGCAATCCTATAGGATAAAGTAGGACTGTCCCAAAGGGTTTCCTAAACTGTAATCTTTAAGGAAACAGATCTTTTTCCCAGAGGAACACCTAGTAGGTTTGACTCACCAACCTGTTGGCAGCTGAAAGCTTAACCATTGCACAACCATGTTATAGAGTAGTTAACAACAAAAACAAACAAAAATCCTATTTTAGGTGAGTAAATTGGGAATCCTTTAGCAGATAGAGTCTAAATTAATACATCAATTACTTAAGGAAACAAGAGTATTCTGCATATGAAACTATAAAATTTTATATATTTAGAGATTGCTGAAGAATACAGGTAGGAGTTCTGGTGTGGCACTGTGGGTTAATGCGCCAGACTGCGAAGCCTTTTGAACTGCAAGTTTGGCAGTTCAAGCTCACCAGCTGCTCCTTGGAAACCCATACAGGGTCACTATGGGTCGGAATTGACTTGACGGCGCTTAACAACAACAACAACAATACAGGTAGAGTCCATGGTAAACAGAAACATGCAATTGCATTATTTAAAAATTCTTGTATGGTCACAGTAGGATTATATTCATTCCCAAGGTTAATTGATATGTGAATTGGGTCACAAAAGCAATTTTCATTGAATATTACAGTCCAAGGGGATATATTAAACTCTAGTGACCGAAGTGCTGTTTTAAAAAAGACCTTGGCATCTTTATATGGCAATTTGCAGAATATGGACCAGCAGACTTTCCCTAAAATATGTGTGGGATCAATTCATATTCTCTATTTTCTGTGCATTATCAGTATCTCATCAAATTGACCTTACAGTTCAAGAAATACTATAATGATGACAGAGTTCTATGCATTTATGTATTTACAGTAAACTTTAAAGCTAAGAGCTCCCAGAATCCGTGAACAGAGTATCTGATAAAACATAATAGAAGTAAGAATGCAAGAAGTAACAAAACTAACCAATTCTCCCTGCACCTCACCATTAGTCATCTCGTGATTATCTGCACCACTGGAAGACAGTGGCTAATGCAAATCACAGGTAATCTACTGAGTGGGATTGAGTCCATGGCCTTGTGCTTAGTAGCTGGATTTCTAAATTGCTCAGTGTAAGTTAGTGCCAATGTGTTGTCAGGATGCCCATCACCACAAGAGAGGCCAGAGGCACATAGTTTTGTTTCTGGAAGCAATTCCTAGATTAAACAAAGAGAATCAGAAATTGGAATTTCCCCCCCACTTTCAAGGCTTAGGTTAATAACGTACATTAATATTTTTAGACTTTTTTTTTAGATTATCTTGGTATGTCAACACAGACAAGACTATTCTATCTTTGCTTAACTTCCAGTAGTAGTATAGATTTAAAAAGGGGGGGGGGGGAAATGCCAGTTGTGATTGAATATATGAATCATTAATGAAATCACCAATAGTCAAAAATATTGTTATCTATCCTGATTCTGATTTAGGAAATTTCACTCCCTATTTCTTGGCTAAAATTATGGCCATTTTTTATAAATGCTGTCACAGATTGAAATATCACTGTGATTTTAGAGTGGTGGCGGTGGTGGTGTGCCGTGGAGTTGGTTCTGACTTCGAGAGACCCTGCATAGGGTTTCCGAGGCTATAAATCTTTACAGGAGCAGAAAGCCTCATCTTTTTCCCATGGAGCAGCTGGTAGATTTGAACTGCTGGCCTTTCGGTTAGCAGTTCAACTTGTAACTCACTATGTACCAGAGGTCCTTGGATTTTAAAATATTAGATGATATTTTTCCTAAAACTTTATTTAATTGTGAAAAAAACTAACTACTCCTAGATGATTGTAGACAAGACAAATGATCATAGTCCTATCTTGTCATAAGATGTTAAAACAAGGATCTCTCTAAATAAGCTGCCTTACCCACACATAACTACAACACAAATATTGTCATTAAAATACATTTAAAACTATGGAGCCAAGCGTCATAATCTCTGTTTAAACCTGTTGAATTATGTTATTTGCATTGAAAACTACTCTATGCACTCAAATGCATAGTTTGTATTTTTATCTGTAAAAGCAAAGTGATTATTTATTGATAAATGACATGGAATGTCATTTTTTACCTAAGTAGCATTAGACATTTCAAAGATTTTGTCTGAAGGGCAAAAGGATTACACTGCATTTGAATAGACCATGTGACAACACATCCTTAGTCTTCATGTACGATATGAAAGGATGATCCCCATTCATAAGGTACACAAGGGAAATTATAACTATACTAGAAAAGAAGAAAAGCAGGGAGGGACGTGGTGAGGGTGTCAGGGACTATTTGTAGTGGTTTGATGCATGTAAATATTACATCTTATAAATAATTCTTTTCAAATACATCTCTGAAGTTCAGGGGCTCTGTTTAAGAAACGGATCGTATATGCTTTACTTGACTATATGCCATTTTCTTCAAGATGAGAGCAACATTAATTCAAACAGGAAAAAATGTCTTCCAAAATACCCCCGTCCTTCTGATTCTTATGAAGAAGTGTGTCATCTGATGCTGGCAGATGAAGATTGGGGGAAATTTGTTCAAGTTATATTCTACTGTCAGAATCCAACAAACACATTTTCATCTAAATTATTTTGTCAACAGCCTTGTAGTACCCTTGCTAACCTTATTTGGCACCAGTGCATAATTAGATACACAGGGGTGTGACTCCAATTGGAGGTGTTGGCATTGTAGCACTCTGTGAAAATATTAACTATGAGGTTAACTCCAATTTTCTCTTCTTTAATTAAATGCACATGGTACTAATGAGGTAACCTACTGTTCCTTGATAGCACTAATTAGCTAAGAGGAGAGTACACTCTCACACTGCAATTTAAACCTAAAAATAAGGTTGAAATATGCTAATTGCAGGCAATTTAAAACAGTACAAGTTGAAGAACTAGTCATAATAAGAGAAACTGACTGCTTTACAGCTAGGCAGCTGTAACTTTGGTTAAAATCAAAACAAGCCACACAATTTTGGGTCTGTTATTTAACAAGGTCATAAGCATTCTCAAAAATGAAATGCTACTCCACACCATAACAATGAAACAGACAGAAAACCTTAGACAGACACTTATCTACATAAAGCCACAAATATGTGAGGGTGACTAGAATTCCAAAATGGCCATGACACTGTTTATATTTAATACTGAATGTAAGCTCTATAAATAAGTGACTTTACCTTAAACTCATTCAAGCATGCCCAAGTTAAATTAAATATTGTAATTGGTGTCTCTCACATTATCAAAAGCAATCTGTATTGGAAGAAGTACAGCCAGAATGCTCCCTGGAAGCTAGGACGGCCAGACTTTATCTCTCATACTTCGGATATACTGTCAAGAGGGACAAGTCCTTGGAGAAGTATATTACGTTTGATAAAATGTAGGGTTGGAGAAAAACAGGAAGACCCCCAATGAGATGGACTGGGACAGTGGCAGCAGTGATGCGCTCAAATCTAGCAATGCTTGTGAGGTTGGTGCAGGACCAGACAGGGTTTCGTTCTGTTGTGCATAGGGTCACTTTGAGTCGGTACAGACTTGATGGCACCTAACAACAAAAACAACATTATCAAAAGATGCAGAGATGCTGACGCTCTGCCATCCCAGTCATGGGATTATAAGGTAGAACAAAAAGAGAAGTCTCGCTCTAATAGCTTTGTTTTAATAGAGGAGAGGGATACATGAATGGATAATTTTAAGTCATTGTGCAAGAACAATGATAAAAATACACTAAAGGTGCTATGGAATAAAAGGGCATTGTAAGATCAACACTGGACTGAAAACCACAAGGTCAGCAGTTCATATCCACCAGCTGCTCTTGTAAACCCTCTATGACTAGATGTAAAAGATCCATAACAATTACAATGTAAAAGATACCAAAACCCAGCTGTCTTCCAATACATTCCAATTCATAGGTTACAGGTGCCGAAGTACCAGAAAAACTCCACCTAATGGCATTATATGGTGTTTTAGTGTAGACTGTAAGACTGGCACTGGACTGCTAAACTGCAAAGACTTATAGCCTCGTTAACCCTATATAGGGTTGCTGTGACATACAACCAATGGATGGCCCTTCACAGCACTGCTGGCCATCCTAGCTTCCAGGAAGCATTGCTAGATTTGAGCACCAGCCTCACAACCGTTGCTAGATTTGAACGCATCACCGCTGCCCCTGTCCCAGTCCACCTCATTGGGGGGGGGTCTTCCTCTTTTTCTCCAGCCCTACATTTTATCAAACATAATATACTTCTCCAAGGACTTGTCCCTCTTGACAATATATCCAAAGTAAGAGAGATGAAGTCTGGCCGTCCTAGCTTCCAGGGAGCATGCACAGCACTGCTGTAAGTCCATTCTGACTCACAGTGACACTATAAGACAAAGTAGAGCAGCGCCAGAAGGTTTCTGGGAATGTAAATCTTTACAGGAGCAAACAGTGGAGCAGCTGCTGGGTTTGAACTGCCAGTATCGGGGTTAGGAGCCCAATGCTTAACTCACCATCAGGGCTCCTTAAAATAACAGAAGGACCTCAGTATAAGGAGATTTTTCAATCAATTGCCTCCAAAGTTTGGAGTTATGGGATGGAATTAGCCTGAGGCTTCACAGTAAGAGAGAATGTATAGGTCTCCATTCTATACTCAAATAGTTCAGAAACATAATTTCAGTGAATCTCAGTATGTATCATTTTAACATATCTCACAAATTTTTTTCTCAGACATATTTCAAATATGATTTTCACCAGTTCACATGAAGATAATCTTGACATGAGGAAAGAATTTAAAGCATTTTCCGAATCATCAACAGATATTGTTATGTTTTGTTTGGTGCAAAGTTCATTTTCACTACTTCATACGTCTCTAGGGAGCACTAGTGTGGTGCTGTAAGATCAGCACTGGATTGAGATTCACAAGGTCAGCAGTTCAAATCCACCAGCTGCTCCTTGGAAACACTATACAGGGTTGCTATGGGTCGGAACTGACTCGTCAGCACTTCACACCAACACAGAGCACTCATGACACGGTGGTTAAGGTGCTCAGCTAGTAACCAGGAGGTCATGGTTTGAACCCACCAGTCACTCCATGGGAGGAAGATGTGGTCGTTCCTAAAGATTTCCAGCCTTGAAATCATATGGGGCAGCCTATTCTGTTCCACAGGGTCGCTGTGAGTCAGAATCAACTTGATAATATGGATTTATGAATCTGTGAAGCCTATGACATGTCATATTTTCACTAACTAGAAAGTAACCTTGATTAACCTAAATACTCACTGTCTGAGTATGCCAAACCATTCCTGCTAGCATGGATGTAAATAAACCACATTAAAGTGATACTATGGTGTGACACATGCTGCATGGCTTAAAGTCTGCAGCATCATTTGAACCGCAAGATCGGTGGTTCAAGCTTACCAGACACTCCTCAGAAACCTTATATAGGGTCACTATGAGTCATTACAGCCTTGACAGCACTTAGTAACAATACCACTAATCTGGAATCCTGATGTGGCACTGTCGGATAATCACTAGACAGCAAGGTCGGTCTGAACTGTACGGTTGGTGGTTCAAACTCACCAGCCACTCCTTGGAAACCCTATATAGGGTCTCCATGAGTTGGAACCAACTCGGCAGCACTTAACAACAGTAACAATTAATCTATTTTCAAGGACAAGAAACAAAGGATTGACCCTGATGACAACTAACATTTCCCTCTCAATATCACTTTGCATGCAACATGAAAACATGTATACAGTTGAAATAATCAAAAGATTTGGGTGGGCAATAAAAATAAAATTTTTAAATGCAGATTTTATGAAAATAGAAAGTCAACTTAATCTTAAATTCACTGAAGAACAAAATCAAACCATCTGAAGGAAAAAGGCTTTAAAATAATCCCCAATTAATAATTCTTGTTAGGAGGATGTGACAATCAACTTTATACTACCATTATAAAGTCATTGTATCTGGCCAAAAGGCTTGATTGAAGAAATTCTACTTAAAAAAACCCCACTCGGCTTCTTCTTGTGACTGCCCTAGAGGTTTCTACAACATAAAGAGACAGAATGTTGGCAACAAATGGAAATAAGCCAACCAGGCTTCAACAGATCCACGATGCTGCAGGTCTGTAAAGGAGTATTAAGGAGAATGAAATCAGACAGTCATTTAAAAATGGGTCTCCTGGAGGCAAC